CTGTAATAACCCTTTAAGCAACATTAGCCTACCATCATGGTTGTATTTACATAAACATGGCATAATATTTAAAACTAATGTGATAGCTATGCCTAATCACTTTACTATTGCAATATGAGTTGGTAAAAGTATAATCCAATATACGCCCAAACAAGCTAATTAAACACGAAGAAAAGAGTGGAGATCTAGCTTTTCATATTTAAGTTATATTGATCTTTGTTTTCCTAAGACAAACCGTAAAACCCATTAAATATAAATGAATACTATTTTCTGTAAAAGACGAAAATTGTAAAAAGGAGTTAACAAAATTACATACAAATGCTTCGACTATAGTGCAAAGGAGTTGGTATACATTTACATTTGTTTATTGTTTTTTTTTTCAACTAAGTTTAGGAGAAAAATAAATAACACATGTGTGACCAACTTTGCAATACTGGTTTGATTAACAAACGTTAAAATTGCACTCCCAAACAATTTACCCGTATTTATTTGTTTTTTAGAATTTTCTATTGTTTCTACGTTGATAAAACTATAGGTATGACATTAATAAATCCATGTATTATAACTAGAGATAATTTTATAATGTTACCTAAAATAACCAAACAAAATTATATTATTTGTTTTTTAGAATTTTCTATTGTTTCTACGTTGATAAAACTATAGGTATGACATTAATAAATCCATGTATTATAACTAGAGATAATTTTATAATGTTACCTAAAATAACCAAACAAAATTATATTTTATATTACATTGTCCATAAGTGAGATTTAATTTTGTAACGTTTTCGTTATGACGTATAATAAAACATAACTAAAATATTGGTGATATCTTTGTCTGAAATTAATTCAATTAAATGTTTTGTCAAAACAGCTAACTATTTTTTCAAGAAATCTAACAAAAAATAATCATTCAATAACACCTTTTTGAAGACAAGCAAAACTCAACAGGGACAATAGTTTCGTTTTATCAAATATTATCTCCGTGGTGAAATTATTCAGTTACGTAACCTACTTTTTAACTGATTAACTATCAACCAACAAAGCCCGTATATTATTCTGAATGTGCGTTGCCTAGACAATTGATGTTCCTCAAGTGAGAAAATGTCAGATAATAGTTCTGTAAAAATATTAGTTTTATAGTATTATGTAACGTTATCAGCTAAATTATACGACTTTTAATTTTAGTGAAATTTTTGAGTACAGTCTAAGCCAAAACTAGAATCAATATATTTTTGTACTCATACCTATACAAAATAGATGTGTATTATCAAACCTAGTTATCTTTAAAAAAAAAAAAACTTAAGTACGACAACAATTTAAATTAAACCATAAAAACTTGAAGTTTTTAACGTAATTTATCTTATTTACTAACTTTATGTATAGGCACAAATCCAAATTCTTAAATTTCTTGAACAAGAGTGACAGTTTAATTAGTGGAAAATGGATAAATTTATACTCATTACGGGTCATGTAGGCATTAAATGATAATTATTTTTTTGAAGAAAAAGTGATATAATAACGATAATGTTTGTATTTCACACCTTAATTACTCTCCCAAGGAATCTACAATTTAATCGTGGAATTAGTAAATTTGTTGGGCAGTAAAATCGATTCTTGGTGACCTGCCAAATCGTAATGATTAATCCTGTTATTGCTTTCTCATTAGTTGCATGGATTGAAAAAAAAAACTATAGAATAATTTGTTTAATACTTTTTATTTAAATTAAGCTAAAAATTAATTTTACGTGTCATGGTTTGAATATTAAACAGCATTTAATTAGCGAAACACTTTCGCTTGGAGCACTGTTGTTGGGGAGCGGCTGTAGCTGACAGTGAGCTAAGGCAGTGAGTGATGGTGTGTAGTGAGGGTTGGCTTGGAGACCTCCCTCGATGCATAGGCAGGTTCCAGACAACAAAGGATGACCCTGAACCTTCGCGAAGGCGGAAGAATGGGGTGGGGGCATAGTGGTGAGGCGTTGGGCGGTGGGGGTGTCGAGGTGTGAGTGTGGGGGGGTTGGTGTTGGGGCGGGTGGGGGTAGCGTGAGTAAGCGGGAGGATCGTGAGTGAGCGGGAGGAGCAAGGGTTGGCTTGGAGACCTCCCACATAACTCGTGGTTTACATTTAACACTCTATTATATGTTGTAACCTTAGCAGAATATGTTAACGTAATAATGTTTCAGTCTGTTCTATTCTTAGTTTAAAACGAAACTATCTAAATGTGAGTAGCATCTTCTCTCTTCATAGTCCGCAAAGTAAAATAAACTAAACTATTGGACTTGAAAAACATACACTTTTCTTACAATTTTGTGTCATATGTATGCTATTTTCATAGTTTCATAGTTTTCATAGTTAGTCTATTACATCACTATTCCTACCACTTTTTCAGTTGGGTTGGTCGTTCAAACAGTCTGGTAGGTAAAACGGTTAAAATATTTGAAATATGTGAAATACTGCTCTCTGATTGGTCAAAATAAGCTAACATCCTATTGGTGGTAAATAAGTGTGCGCTATGGGGAGAACAAAGAATACAAGGGATGAGTGGGGGCCGCTTGGAGAGCAGGTGTTGGGGAGCAGCTGCGGCTGACAGTGAGTGATGGTGTAGGGAGGGTTGGCTTGGAGACCTCCCACAATGCGTAGGGTGGTTCCAGACAACAAAGGATGACCTTGAACCTGCCCGATGGTGGTAGGGGTTAGCGACGGGGGTGGGGGTGGCGCTGGGGGTGGGGGTGGCGTCGGGGGCGAGGGTGTCGGGGGCGGGGGCGTCGGGGGCGGGGGTGGCGTCGTGTGACGTCAGCCGCTCACTGCCGCTCAAGCCGCTCACTGCCGCCGGAGCCGCTAAATCCCTCTACTGACGTAACAGGACTTTCATGGGCAAAAGGTCAGTTTCATCAGTTCTGGAACTAAAGTATCACATATCCTCTGTCCCAAACACATTATTCGGACTTAAATGAATCAAGGTAAATTCAGTATTGAAATAAATGTCAAATGTGCTCAAAAACTGGAAACTTGTAAAATGATTTAATTTATACACACGGATAATGTCAGGGCTAGGAAAGAACCACAACCCTTGTACTACTTTATATATATATATATATATTCTTGATATATATACTTGTACTACACTACGCTGAATATGTTTGCTGACTTGTTAGTAACGAAGGAGTAGGTGTAATCATTCTTGATTAGGTACTCGCAAACTTCGTACGTAGTTTTCTTTAAGCAATAATAAGACATTTTATTTTCCATAGTGTAGTGCACCCAGCACAACACCAACCGTCTGGTTCAGGCATTATCTTGAAAAAAAATACTGCATGTGACGGGTGGCGATAACGTCCCCTTCTTAGGATAAAAAGAGGAAAGCCGTAGGGGAGCTGCCCGGGGCCCTCATTGGTTTTTTTTATGAGAACGGTCAGCAGGACACGTTTTTGTGAGTGTTGACCCTGATCTGGTAATAGAAGGCGATTGGTCAATAAAGTATGATGGTCTCAGGTTTGAGCCAAAAAGTCTTTATTGGCCATTATGAGTGTAAACCGTTAAATGTCATCTACAGTGGAGTGGAACCTCTATAAGAAGACCATCGATAACAAAGTGGCCCTTGTAATTTTCAAATAACTAAGATTTATTACCCTTAATTCCATATAAAACTCTATACACAACCTTGGATGAGTTTTATGTGATCATTCCCACAAGAGACTTGTTAACTTTCTACTATACGTATAGCAGAGTCATAACCTCTGTTCCTTATATTGCTTACTGTTTAGCCTATCTAAATCGTGCTTTGTTACAAAAAGTAGATTTAGATGAATTTGTATATTATAAATTGTAAATGTGTTAGTGCGTTTATGAAAGGAAGTCGTACAATATCCCTCCGAAGAGGTTCATGCACTTACGTATCAAACTAAAATTGTTGTGTGACATTGTTCATTTATGATCTGTCACAAGTAATAATAACACGAATCGTGTAGGCATACAGGGTGTCCCGGAACTCTCTACCAATATTTTAGAGCATTGTTAATGGGTAAGAAACATACCTAAATATCATATTTAAATTGTCCGGAAGTCCTTAGTTACTCACACAGCCGCCATTTTGTTTTTTTCAGTTATTAATTTTTTTCTAAAGAATGGTTCAACATAAGAAATGGAAACTTTGCACGAATAATTATGACAACTAGACGAAGCTACCAAAAAATTATGACGATTTTTCAAATTCATAAAACAAAATGGCGTCCATTTAAAATTTTTATAAAATCAACGGTTTTTGAGTTATTTAAGAAACGAAATTTTAAACGGTCGCCATTTTGTTTTATGGATTTGAAAAATCTTCATAATTTTTTTGTACCTTTGTCTAGTTGTTATAAATGTTTGTGCAAAGTTTCCATTTCGTATGTTTAACCATTCTTTAGAAAAAAATTAATAACTGAAAAAAACAAAATGGCGGCTGTGTGAGTAACTAAGGACTTCCGGACAATTTAAATATGATATTTAGGTATGTTTCTTACCCATTAGCAATGCTCTAAAATATTGGTAGAGAGTTCCGGGACACCCTGTATAAATGGTAAAATATGATTTTGAAATACTTTTAGATTTAACTCTTACTGCCAAATACTCTGATCAAAAAAGTGCCTTTTACAAGCCGCCTTAGAACTATAATTTATATATTTTTCCAACCACTTATTGGAAATGTTCACATTGCAACACCTGCAAACAGTGTGAAAAAAGTTTATTTATGCTCTAGAGCGGGAATGACCATTAACATTGTAAGCAAAATAATATAACATACGTGTACTTTAAATTATAATTGTACTTTAAAAAATAAATATAGAAAATACTATACAATTTTTGTGTTACTTTTGAAACAATTGGTCCTCACCGACTAGTTTTTTTTTTTTACTTGACGAGGCTAATACAATGTAACATTATGAATAAATATATTTTTAAATTTGATCAAGTACAGGTGAGCTATTCCATGGGGGTATAGAAACGACTTCGTACAATTTATTGAAACTTTTATTGAATGCAAAGTAGAGCCTCTTAAAATTCATCTTAATTGTATACAAATAAAATAAGTAAGCTATGATATAACATCGTAACATAAAAAATAGAAAATTATTTTAAATAATTTAAAAAATCACGTAAAATAATTCACATAATTGTAACGTGTCCTGTTAGACAGATACAAGAACAGTGTTTGGAAGTATTTTTTTTTTTAACGAAATGTACTAAACTTACAATTCTTTGGTTTAACGTAATACTGTTAGTTGTTCTGTGTGAATTCTCAATTTAGAGAGGTTCACCGGACTAGTCGAGACATAGAAACTCGCTGAAATCACACTTGAGCGTGTGGAGAGAACATCCTGTACATCGCTCACACTTGCACTGCATGCCTTCCCCACACTTGCCGAGGATGTCTGAGGGCCCACCACACCTCATGCCCGGACCCTGCACACAACAAGACCAATCTTAGAGAGAACATCCTGTACATCGCTCACACTTGCACTGCATGCCTTCCCCACACTTGCCGAGGATGTCTGAGGGCCCACCACACCTCATGCCCGGACCCTGCACACAACAAGACCAATCTTAGAGAGAACATCCTGTACATCGCTCACACTTGCACTGCATGCCTTCCCCACACTTGCCGAGGATGTCTGAGGGCCCACCACACCTCATGCCCGGACCCTGTACACAACAAGAGCAATCTTAGAGAGAACATCCTGTACATCGCTCACACTTGCACTGCATGCCTTCCCCACACTTGCCGAGGATGTCTGAGGGCCCACCACACCTCATGCCCGGACCCTGCACACAACAAGACCAATCTTAGAGAGAACATCCTGTACATCGCTCACACTTGCACTGCATGCCTTCCCCACACTTGCCGAGGATGTCTGAGGGCCCACCACACCTCATGCCCGGACCCTGTACACAACAAGAGCAATCTTAGAGAGAACATCCTGTACATCGCTCACACTTGCACTGCATGCCTTCCCCACACTTGCCGAGGATGTCTGAGGGCCCACCACACCTCATGCCCGAACCCTGTACACAACAAGAGCAATCTTAGAGAGAACATCCTGTACATCGCTCACACTTGCACTGCATGCCTTCCCCACACTTGCCGAGGATGTCTGAGGGCCCACCACACCTCATGCCCGGACCCTGCACACAACAAGACCAATCTTAGAGAGAACATCCTGTACATCGCTCACACTTGCACTGCATGCCTTCCCCACACTTGCCGAGGATGTCTGAGGGCCCACCACACCTCATGCCCGGACCCTGCACACAACAAGAGCAATGAGTAAATAAAAAATACATGAACCTACCTAGAGTAGAGAGTTGTAGAGTTTGAGTAAACACTATTTTCCTTACACCCTCTCGTTTTTAGAACTAAAACAGATACGTTTTTCTTCAAGCTTTCACGATTTACAAATTTAACGCGTAATATTCCAATAGCGAGGCTTGTTTCAATTCATAGAGACTTAAATGTTCAAATGTCGGACATAATCTTTGGCTTTGTGGTATTATTATGTATGTATGCCCTTTACAATGTGAAATTTACTAACTTTAACGTAGAGGAATACTGTAGATTTATCTTACTGAGTACATGTCTTCACCACATTTTCTTCTTATTCTTTACGCGCGTTTTTTTCTTCATAGTTGGCTTTTTCCTGCGCTTAATTGACTTTCTCTCAGGAAAACATATAATTTGTGTTTTCTGCTGCTATATTGAAAATTGCGACTCGTCAATTGCAAGTTAAAAATTTTCTTCAGGATTTTATCAACAAGTTCTTTGTGTCCAATCAATCAATCCAAACAATGTTGGGCACACCGGCATTGTACACTTTGTAAAAACATAACAAATTCATTTCATTAAGTTGCGTAATTTAGATATTAGTGTAATTTACAAAAAAATTGAATGAATCACGCAAAAAAAATACAACTATTTGTTACAAATATAGGGCAAAATAAATATTATATCTGAACATACACAATTTTAGTGTAGGCCTACCTTTGCACAAACTAGCTTGCCACAGAAGTCTTTATGAGTGCCGTAGACACAGTCGTCGGGGTCCACGTCTGCTATGGCGCATTTCGCTTTGGACGCATCGCACCTGTCAACACACTCTCAATAAACATTCGGTAGTAAGTTTACATTTTGATATTTTACTTTAGCAGTCACAGAATCCTTTGCTAAACTTGTTATACGAGTATGCAAAGCCTACCTGTACGTCAGGTAGACGACGATACAAGCCAGGATGGTACACAGGGTCGGCAGGTGGGCCATGGTCTGCAACAGAAATAAATTTTAGGTTCAATCGCCGTATATCGTCGCTGGAAGAAATTTATTTTCCAATAGATGGTTTAAAATTGAAATTAAACGATAAGGGACTATTTTGTACAGGTTATTTAACCTTACTCTTTCTTATCCACATCAACTCTAGGCCTACGGGTAGGAAAGTGTTACAGCGATCGCCTTCGACTTCGATAGTTACTGTTCCGATCATAAACGAGGTCAAAATTAAGCACAAAATATCATATTTTTGTCATCAGGCTGTCAATGAGTCTTCATCACCGTCACTGCTGCTGACGTGAGTTTTATCACGTCATGATGCTATCTGACGAGAGTTTGGCGTTAAATAGTAACAAGCCCAGGGTTGGACGGTATTCTTACAAGAAAACGCAAAAATGCCAATGACGCTTAAACAAGCAACATTTTATTTTACACATCATTCATTCATCAAAGGTTCTAAAACGTTGAAAGTAATGAGTAACCCTTTACTTCCCATAGTATCCTTTTGGATACATATTATTTCTCATTTTTTTACCTCTCTGTAGATAGAGATTTGAGTCTATACCTCTATGCATTTTGTTTCTAGGCTTATTAGAAAGGGTTTTTAATTTTCCTAGTGTTGGCAAGCCTGCGAAAAGAAGAAAAATATCATTTCAAAGCAATTCAAACCAGGTTTTTGACACATCATGAAATTTAAGATTTTCAATATAAGATTTTTTATGTTTACAATTAGTTACGAAACTGGGAAAAATTATATTTCACTTCATTGCACTTTTGCTTGTTTCAGTCCGATATTAGAAATCATTAAATATAATAATGATGTGTTTTACAGATGAATGACAATGAAGAAATTGACGAGTGGCTTATGATGCCATCTATTGATATTGTAATTAAGTTTTTTACATAATATGTCTATTTAAAAGTACTCATTCTAAATTAATTTGTTTTAATTGATGAACAAGTAACTTATTTTTCAATTTGATACAACTTTTAAGAAACTTGTATCCATATGGATACTATGGGAGTGTCAAAGTAAATTTAAAATTATTAACGTATGAAAATTAGCGAACAATGGTACTTTAGGTTTCCATGGTATCCATATGGATACATATTTCTAACTTTTAATTCTATGAGGGAAATTTGAAAACAAACACATTTTTAGCCTTAAAATACAAAAAATAAAAATAAAATTCACAATAAATTTTTTTGTTATTAAATTTCATAATTCTGGGAAGTAAAGGGAGACGTAGCATGAAACTAATGGCAGGAGTGACTTAAAAACGTTTGATTACCTACCATTAATATGAATCCCAATGTAACATGTTAAATGATTGTAAGACTAAAGATTGTATTTTTGTGAATAGTAAAATACTCGCAAGTATGCAGATTGCAGGGACATATGACATGGTTGGTCAGTTACATAATGGGGTTTGTTTATATTTACTCATTTACGACGCCAGAGCTCTGGTAAATATTGTTGTTAGGCGTTGAAAGTGTCTCCTCGTGCTAAATATATCGACTTGGGCTCCCATCGGCCGATATAGATCTACAGTTCATAATGATAGACTGAACAACATGTTGGAGTTGGTGCTCAACCAAACTTCCTCATAGAAATATAAATCTAAAGCAACTCATCATAATTTAGTGTCTGATGTATGACTGAGCTGATTTACGTGAAAATGGTACAGCAATATAATGGTCATATGAACATGCCAAATAAAATAAGTTATACAGTGTTGACATGCGCGTTTGCTTAGGAGTGGTGCCTACTCCTCATGGAGATGGATATAAATAATTAATTATGTACGCCATTACTATTCACCAATCGATAAGAAATTTCATTTATTGTAAACCAAACTTTACACGTAGCACTTATAAACTATATCATATTGTAAAGTATATCGACGTCAAAGGAACAATTGGCACGCTTTTGAATAAAATTAACATTCACACTCTGAATTCAAAAACAGTATCTGATTTAAAAAGTTAAAGTAATATTTTCTTTTGTAATTTTTGTCGAAAGTCATTAACATAGGCTGTACGACAAGTGCATTGGATGATCTGTGCCAAAAAGGAGATTACTGTATTTAATTTTACATTACCTATTGTATCAAACAATGTTTACCACAACAACAATAGGTCATTTAATTGCTTGCCAGATTATTTAAATTTCGTGCCATCTACAAATTGAGGATTCCTTTTAAACTATCTATCCGAATCCGAACTTAAAAATAAACGGTATCAGCAATCTGACAAAATATACTTTCTCCCATTAGCTTGTCAACAATCTTTCTTTATCATCAGTAAGTGGTGAGACTATGATATTTTATAGGGAAAATACAATAGTTTCAATGATTTTGTTAACCGTATTTGTTACAGCAAAATTGTTGGTTGCGCTATTTTTTTTAGAATTATAAGGACCATAACACATTAATTTTAATCAAAACCGGCTTTTTTCCTAAAATCCAATTTTTTTAGCGAATTTCCCATATAGGGAATAAGCTATTATCGTAGTAATCATGGTAAGACCTGGACCCGGGACCGATTTACTTTTTCGTTTTGAGGTCCCTAGAGGCCAAAAACACCACCCGTTCAAATTCATATATATATATCTTTCTAATATATAAAATTCTCGTGTCACAGTGTTTGTCTGCAAACTCCTCCGGAACGACTTCACCGATCGTTATGAAATTTGGTGTGTAAATTCTGTAGGTATGCGAATCGGACGTAAACTATTTCCCGTTTCGAAATTCTTAAAAGGGCTCCGCCCCAGTGGCTCTGGAGTTTCCCATGTTAACCTTATGAGAAATGGAATTAATGAATCTTAACAGCTGTTTCAATTAAACAAGTTGGTTCTGTTCTATGATGTTCAATAGCATTAAAGTTACAAGGATTACCAACAGGGTGCAGCACTATTATTTCTTTTACATTTATGACAACAGCTATTTTGCAACCAAAAGGTGAGTGAGCGTAGCGAACGAACTTCAACCAGGACGTGATTGAGCGATGCGAACGAGATCATCTTGAAAATTAAACGTAACGGTACTTTCTTTCCATCGGTCTGTCTTAGGGGAAACCTATAACTTAGGCGATACGAAGTTCGCCGGGTCAGCTAGTATATATATATATGTGTGTGTCCGTTAGCGCGATAACTCGAGCAAAACTCATCCGATTTTGATGAAATTTGGTACAAACATGTAAACCTACGTTTATTCGAACGAGTTCGCGAACTAGCATGATCGGACTATGGGAACAGGTGTTTATGGGGGGTTTTATGGGGTAAAAATTGGTTTTTCCCATTTTTAACCCTAAAAACTTTCTTTCTTTCTTTCTTTCCAATAAAACATTTTCTTTCCAAACCATTTTGTAGAGCTTAAAAAAAACCAATAATTTAGTATATTGAAGCCTTATTATGCACCTAATGGTTACGGAGAAAATACAAAAAAACTGTAAATTTAAAATTCCCATGTTACTCTTATGGAGAATAAGTAAACTGTTGTAGTTTGCTTGTTTATGAACACATTTTGATCAAATTTGGAAAATGCATTCATTTCATTCCAAACTATTAACATTTAAAAAAACACACATTTTTACCCTCTCTGTTGCAGCAAACCTAAGTACTCGTTAAATTAATGTCATTTAAAAAGGAAATAAATGTGATATTTTTAAAGAGACATTTTTGTGTAAATCCAATCAAGCAAATGGAAATTCGCTTAGTCTGCAGGTTTGCTGCGGCGGGGGTATTTTTTTTTTTCATTTTATGGGCATTTATGTGAGAATAACATAAGTTCCAAAAACCTTTGAACAGAAATTTTTATGGAAATGGGATGTGTACCATTTTGTTCATATATTAAAGGATCATAACAAAATAATTGTTATCAAAAGAGTGTTATTCTAAAATCAAATGTTTCGTTATTTTATAGTTTTTAATGGGAAAAATAACCTAAGTTCTTATAACTTTTGAACCGTAATTTTTACGGGAATGGGATTTTTACCATTTTATTCAGAATATAAAAACTATAACATACTACATTTTCAACCAAATCTTTCGGATTATTTTCGAGAAAATTAGATTTTTCCGTAATTTTATGGGTCTTTATAAGAAAATAAGAAATACAAATATTTTTTATGGAAAAAAACGCCTGGAGTAACCATGGATAGTACCTACATACCGGCACCAAATTTCATCAAAATCGGACTACAGAGTGGTCTGTAGTTCTGTACACATCCACACATAGGCCTACACACAGACAGACACACACGGACAGACATCACTTCGAAACTAGCTTTTTTGGGTTCGGGGGGACCCAAATGTATATATCCACTCAATACTCAAACTCGAAATTTTTGACGAAAACAATACATTCTATACATATAGGCCTACTGTATGTATAAGTTGAGAAAGTAAAAACGAGTTCAATAACTTTATCTCGTCTTTGCAAGAACGTCCCACATTTTATCTTGTCATGCGTGAACTGATGAACCCTCAGTGATGGAATCAACATTATTTTGCTACAACTTCAGGCATATAGTATAAAGAATGAGGGAGTCGCAGTCAGTCTGAGCCACACGTTACAGACTCTAAGAATTTTCAGCGATTCAGAAATAATGTAGCTACAATTCTTGTTTAAGTCTTCAAGAAACCGATGAAAAATTTTGAGATACCATTGAAAACCTACATACTATAATGGTCAGATAAGTAGTCAATAGTAGAAACTCGATCAAGTAGAGTAGGCACAGACAGCTAGTGTAGCTAGAGAGGTTCCTTGCTGTAGACACGGCGGACAGATCAGTACGAGTGTTTTCAGAAGAAGGGGTTTCTTCAAAAAGTAAAGAAAATGACAAAATATTTATGCTTTAAAATATGACATATCGATAACATATTTTTTTATTTTGCGTTTATGGAAATAAAAATTATTTTAAACAGAGGAACATGTCATATCGATTACTTTACTATCCATAAAATGGGTGAAATCGCCGGGGACAGTGGGGTGGGATAGTTGTTGTCTGCAGCGAGCAGTGAGTGTTGGCACCTAGGAGGATTAAACATTAGTTGGCACGTACACCGTCGTCACATGATGTCGTATCGCTCGCACCAGTCATCAACCGTAGGCGTATCACGGTATAAATAACACACACTTCACAGAACTAGAGTGTTTTGAGGAAAACGAAAAGATAACCTTTTCCTTGCATACGGTTACGAACAGGTGATAAATACGGGGTGGGTTTACCTTCGAAAGATTATGGGATACGAAGTTCAAATCCATTCAAAAACAAATCAGCCACGAGATATACAGGGTGATTGAAAATTCTGGGTACGGCTTAATATTTTAAAACATAATGCAGATTGAGCTACAATACTTGGTACAAAGTTACAGGGCATAAAACTCTATTTTAACACATATTCAGTGATCCAATAACTCTTCAGGGGGACGGCCCACAAGGAGTCGGAAGAAAATCTTAAATAGAAGCATAGGTCAATATGCACATCAAATTAAAGGTATTTTTTAGTAGAATACAATGCCGCAAACCGTACTTCACAAGGTTGATCCTGCGCAAAATGGCAGATGTTCAAAGATTTCTTGAATCCGCTATTTTGAATCTTTGAACGACTGTAATTTTTTACTCAGGCATTCTTTTGAGCTTGAATTTACGGCATCGTAATCTACTAGTGAAGACCTTTAATTTGATGTGCATATCGACCTATGCTAACGTTAACAATTTTCTTCCGATTCTTAGGGCTGTGCCCCCTGAGGAGTAAGCGTATAATGGCAATGTAAATTAAATGAATCTTTGAACAACTGTCATTTTGCGCAGGATCAACCTTTTGAAGTGCGGTTTGCGGCATTGTATTCTACTAAAAAAGACCTTTAATTTTATGTGCATATTGACCTATGCTTCCTTTTAAGATTTTCTTCCGACTCCTTGTGGGCCGTCCCCCTGAAGAGTTATTGGATTACTGAATATGTGTTAAAATAGAGTTTTATGCCCTGTAACTTTGTACCAAGTATTGTAGCTCAATCTGCATTATATTTTAAAATATTAAGCCGTACCCAGACTTTTCAATCACCCTGTATTTCTTATGAGTTATCTGTATTCTTATACAGTTATGATCTACGCAACAAAAAGTGATTATACTTCTCGAGTGGAGTAGCCCTACTTTAATTTGGAAGAAACTTCTTCATTCATTAATATTAAAACGTGCGTTCATGTATGATCCAGGTTGAATTCATTTTAACAAAAACAATTCCAGCACACTAATCCCGCTAATTGCAATGAGGATTTCTTCATATGCATGGACATGTTGGACAACTGATGGAGAACATCTTTACGTTAAAATATAATAAAACCATTAAAAATGTTAACGAAATTTAACACATCTAAAATTATGTATATAAATGGTACCATTGACTATATTACTCTATAGTATTAACCACTCGAATTCGTAGACGTTTCACTCGATGCTGAACTACTTGCTTAGCTCTGACACACCCAACGCACGGAATACGGATATACAAATAATATATCGAGGACTCGGTTTCAGATCCCGTTGTGGCAAACCATCTTGCACCAGAACCTTTGTGAAATCATGTATCCTTAAACTTGCCAACTAAATATCAGTTGACAATGCCACAAATTTCTGCAAATTGGGTCGGGGTCGGGCCAGCCATCGAGTACCATATTTCATGTCCAGCTTTGCAGTGGTTGATATACCGTCCACCACATCTGAGAATAGAAAACAGGTCAGTTTAGCAAACTGCACTGCTAGTCTTTGGCATATCACTCAATAAACGCGACAAATCCCTATTGTTTCACTTTTAAACTACACGCAATGGAACGATATCTCACAGAATAATCCATTTATTTCCATGCAATACTATGGAAAAAAGTTTTACCGGTATTTATTATCTTCTTAAAGTTAAGGGTGACGTAAGTGAATTAATAAACCCAGAGTGAGTCTAAGAGTACAATGAATCATTTAATTCTTAAGACCATTTCAGTATGATGAAAGGCTATTCATACTTGCACTACAATATTGTTTCTGCCAGACAAGACTAGAGCGAGGTAGCTGATGTCACTACCGAGTCATTGTCAACAGCTTGTGAATGTGAGAGTGGTAACTCAGACGTCAGAAGTAAAGACTAATGTGTTTATGTGATGGAGCTAGTTTAAACTACTCATAAATAAGACCTTGGGAAGTCTACGAAAACTCAAATAATACGTGAGATTGAGGTTTCATCGAAATGATATGAGTATCTCGTAGCAATCCTACTCGCTTTTCCACAGCCACGACGCAAGCATCCGATCATACTGCAGCTGTAGCTGTAAAGGAACCGTAACAATACTAATTTGCCGCCTCCATCCACTACTAGCTTTATAGGTATAGAACTGGCGAATCTCAATAAAATAATACACATAAGAAGGCTACAAATTATAACACCTTTTACGGCACCAAGAGAGGGACATGCTTGAAATCAAGTCTTCGCAGACCCAGATCTCTATATATTACAAGTTGTAAGGGATCTCAGATCTACGAGAGAGCTGTTAAGCGACCGCGTGTTTTGTAAACACGGAGGCGGTGTTGCGTCGCGTCGCGTTGGCAGGATGCTACGTCACGACGCCGGATGTTGACGTGGAGGTGTTATTCTGAGCGTCGCGGCGCTCCAACATCAACCTCAGTGATTGGACGGACGTTGAGAGTGTAACACAGCATTTCGTTTAGGTTTCATACCCACAGTGTTATTGCTATTATTGTTTTTGATTTGTTTGAAGGTAAGTAAAAAGTGGTGCAAGTAACATTAAACTAATAAGTTATTTATTTTTCCCATAGTCAATTCTTCATATTTTAAATCATTTAACATTTTTATTGAAATTGACATGGACATGTGTCCGAGTAATCACAATTTATTATTTCAACACATTTTGGAATTTTAGTTGTGTGGCTTTGTTTGTGGTTGGCACTAATGGCAATGTTGTATGAATGTATAGAGTACTGCTTGGAAACATACGTAACAGATACATATGAGAATATTATAGTCACATTGTGAACGTTTATACGTACAGAACGTTCGAACTCCACACGAAACGTCGCGCGAGTGCTAAACGAACGTACACGAATAACGAATTTTATCGTTAAAACGGACTATAAAGCTATAGCTGTATTTATAAAGAGTAGGGGTATATACAACGCATAAAGATGGAGTAAAAATCCAGGGGTATCTGTTTTAATTGTTTATTATTTAGTTAATGAGATTAGTGTTTAAGAGTTTTTCATGTGGTTTCCGTGGGTAGCTTGAATAGTGCATAATCTTGAAGTTTAACCATTTTGACCACGTAACCAGATCCAGAAGACACCTATATGCCTAAAATGTTGAAAAATTGTTTATGTCAAATTTATACATCCAATAAGTCCACGACCATGGATTGTAACACATTTTTATTTGAAATATACAATTATCTAAAAACCTTATAATATTAGACAAAATACCTTATGTCTTCTTCCATAATATCAAAGCACCACTGCTACATTTTTCAATCTAACAATATCGTTACAATTGCTGAAAACACATTTCGTCATCAGAACAGACAGTTAAAGTACCTAGGCTACCTAACATTCACTGTTAGCCTATACGCAGTGTAACAAAAGAATCCAGCAGTGTGAAAAATCCCGAACGGTGATATATATTTTTTACGATTCAGGATATTATATAGTTATTTGTGTAACTAGTGGGCAAAGTGGCACTTTGCTGCACACGAGAGCAATGTTTACGCACGAGCCGCAGGCGAGTGCGGAATGATCTCGAGTGCAGCAAAGGCCTTTTGCACTCGTGTTACACATTATATTTTTCCTACAGTCACTATAAAGCATATAAATAATTAATTAGTCTTTCAAACACTATACAACACGTTTTTAGGTTCAACACAAATAGGCTGGCAATACAAATAGGTGCCCTAGAGGGCCTAGAGAAAGTAGTCACCGGTCCGTATCACTCCACTATTTTTTCCTCGGCATGCAATGTGCTCCGCGACTTGAGAAATTAGTTCCGTATGTTTTTGTAATTTGAAGTGGTTTCCGTGCCTAAAAAAACGCTTTAAAGGTATTTTATTGTTTATTAAGATCGTAGGAATGTTTTAAAAACGTTTAAAAGAAAGGTCCAGAAAGTTTAGAAATAGGTACGGTATCGAAACTATAAACACGAAATGACAGGTTAAATCGTAGTTATAATAGTCAATCAGCTGCTCATAGTATTATTATCTTTAAGTGTTGCCAACCTATTTCCAAGCGTACACGGATAACGTGCATAATAAAACCACGCTGTTTTGTGTTGTTTCGTTGGAATCCTGATGTGCACCAAAGTATAACTAGTGAGCAAAATGAGCAATTGACTCACTCGAGAGAAATACTTAGGCCTACTCACGAGCTGTAGGCGAGTGAGGAATGGTTCTCGAGTGAGGCAATTGCACTTTGCACTCGAGTTGCACATTATATTTTTCCTACAGTTACCATAAAATATAAAACATATAAATCGGTAAAGAAACGTAACATATTTTTACACAGAAGTTAACTTTCAATATGACATTTAATAATACAACAGTACAACAGCTGGCCAGCTGATTTACAGCCAGTGCTGCCAACGTATTTTGCGCGCATACGACCTTGTCTGCATGTTACGCGCTCACTATTTCGTGCCTTCACGTTGCAAATCTGGAGTGAAAAACATTGTCTCACTGATGAGCGAATTGGCCACTTTGCTTTCTTAAATCAGTGAGAGAACATGTACATTGTTAGGTAACTGTAGGAAAAAATATTTTTGGTGCAATCAGACAATTTTCTACTTTTACCTAGTCGCTTAGGTTATTTTAGAGTCTGTGTGACATTGGTAAACATTGTTTGATGCCCTAATTAGGTATATAAAGCAAGCAGTATGTAAGTTACGGACTAGGGTAATGCCCAAGTGGGACACCGAGACCGACCATCAGTGACAGTTGTAGTTGAGTTTAGCGAACGATGACAGTCTCGATCTCAGCATGCATTGTTTACACAACATGCCAGCTTGATCCAGAGCCAAATATACAGGGTGTTGAAAATGTCTGGAACCAACATTATATCTCGTGAGTGGTTAAAGAAAAACAACTGATATTTTGGGTACGGATATACTATGGTTTTACCTATCTTTTGGTGCCTTATGAAAATTTTTACCACTTATAGGGAACGTCCTGTGGAGGAAGCAGTAAAAAGTTTTAATGGAAGCCTATGGTAAATGATACATCATTTTAAAGGCCATTTTTTTCTGAGTAAGGAGCCACAAGTTTCATTTCAAAAGGACCACCCTAGCAAAAATGGCGACTGTTTGTAATTTTAAAAACCACTTATAGGGAACGGAATTTTTAAATTTCAAACAGTCGCCATTTTTGCTAGGGTGGTCCTTTTGAAATGGAACTTGTGGCTCCTTACTCAGAAAAAAATGGCCTTTAAAATGATGTATCATTTACCATAGGCTTCCATTAAAACTTTTTACTGCATCCTCCACAGAACGTTCCCTATAAGTGGTTTTTAAAATTTCAAACAGTCGCCATTTTTGCTAGGGTGGTCCTTTTGAAATGAAACTTGTGGCTCCTTACTCAGAAAAAAATGGCCTTTAAAATGATGTATCATTTACCATAGGCTTCCATTAAAACTTTTTACTGCATCCTCCACAGAACGTTCCCTATAAGTGGTTTTTAAAATTTCAAACAGTCGCCATTTTTGCTAGGGTGGTCCTTTTGAAATGAAACTTGTGGCTCCTTACTCAGAAAAAAATGGCCTTTAAAATGATGTATCATTTACCATAGGCTTCCATTAAAACTTTTTACTGCATCCTCCACAGGACGTTCCCTATAAGTGGTAAAAATTTTCATAATGCACCAAAAGATAGGTAAAACCATAGTATATCCGTACCCAAAATATCAGTTGTTTTTCTTTAACCACTCACGAGATATAATGTTGGTTCCAGACATTTTCAACACCCTGTATATTTATACTCCACACAATGAACTCTGCCTTCTAGAATTCACCTCCTTTGGGTTGCAGATGTCTATACATCGTGGACTAATATATACTGTGTCAATGAGCGCGTTCTGGGAACATGTACCGGTGCACCCCATGTTTCAAGCAATTTACACACTTTGTCCAAAAAAATGCTCCACAATGTTGATTAGTTTATAAAGTGTCAAAACAAAATTAAAACACCCTCATATCAGGTTAGTAATAGCAAATAAACGGTATCAGCAATCTGACACATACTTTCTCCCATAAGCTTGTCAACAACCTTTATCATGGGTGAGCAGTGGGAGTAACTATGACAATTTTGTAGGAAAAAATCACAAAAGTTGCAATAAATTTTGAACCGTAATTGTTATAGTAATGGGGGTTGCATTATTTTGTTTAGAATTATACGGACCATAATACAAAAATTAAATCAGATTTTTTTGTAATTTTATGAGATTCTTTATGGGAACATTATATAAGTTACAATAATTTTTTAACTATAATTTTTACGGAAATGAGATTTGTAACATTTTGTTGATTTTCCATTATTTTATGTGGTTTTTATGGGAAAATCCCCATTAAAAATAATAATAAAAATAAATTAAAAAATCCCCTGGAGATACCATGGATTAGTATATACCTACATACCAAATATCATCAAAATCTTAATACAGGTGTGGTAAAATGACTTTTAAAACCCATCTTATTTATTTTAGCTGCCATTTTGTTATTAGTTGTCCGATTTCTATTTTATTCATGTTTATTGTTTAGTTTTGTAAAGACCTGTAAAATTATACCAAACTTGACCATACTCCTATTTGACAATTTTGAGCTGACCCCCAACCCCACTCTAAGGGCAAAATTTTCAAAATTAACCATCATTTTTGTAGTCCCTCATATCTAAACAGGTTGCCGCAAACCGATTTCAAATATCTCAAATTGTTGAATAGTTAAGGGGGGGGGGGGGCAAGCTACTTTTCAGCCACCCTGTGTATATAAAACAAAGTTGTTTTAATGTTTTTTGAAATGCGCATGGAGTAGTTCAACCTACAAACTACAAGACCTTCAGGCAAAATAGGTAAATAATTATTGTAAAAGTCGTTTTAGTTACACCACTTATAACTCAAGAACGGCTGGACCGAGTTCAATGATATTTGATTCATTGGATTCGTCTTTGTCTCGATTAACATATAGGCATATTCAGTTTGAATGTTAACCTTAGTGCTAAGCCCCACTGGCCTGTAAAGTTTGTATGTTAAGCCATAGACCGTCAGCAGTGCTGCGGTTAGCATATGTTTCAGTGCTCTCCTCTAGGGGTGCATTGTTTTCTTAAATCTTAAATAAAACTTCTAAATTAAAACTGTTTCTTTGAATTAATACTATCATTGAATACTACCTACTAGTTATGCAGCATTAGTGACCAAACCGCCTGATAGAAATTCATTGTTAGTTTTATCAATGTGATGTGAAAACAGAAAACAAAATCCGAAAGTAGTTAAGTGAAACATACCAAGTCAGCTCTAATGAAATTTCTTTCCTGATATCAAAGGTGGATTTGTAACTATTTTATACAACAGATTTAAACATAAATATTTTCTCTTCGGTGTCCTCTCCGTTGCAAAGCATGGGTACAGCAGCTAGTAATTTTATATTTTCGGAAAGGATTATGGCTAGTAGCATATAGACTAAGTAACACATGGGGGAGTATGTTTTATCTATGCTAGTAGTAGATAACCATCATCCAGTTCTTTGGAGAGTTAACATGCTCATAAGCTGGAACTGAACTACAATACAATCTTTACCTGGGACTGCAATAGTGATAAATAATCTATACACATTCTAAGCTACAAACTTTCTCCTTTCTCTATTCTTTTATATAGACATTGAAGAGAGTTGGTCAATGAAGGACGAACAAACTAGTTGAGATGGCATTGCCAGCTGCTGCTGCTGCCAAAGCTGGTGTAACAGTGGCTCTTACAATGTAACACTGTTTGATAAGTTCAAACAACAAACTACTCTATATTTAAACAATGTCTAGAAAGGTTATAGATTGATTAACATTTAATCCGAAGGTACTTCAGATTTCTCCATTCACTGTCAGTTAAAATTCAGAGCAAATGCAAAATTGTCTTTTTTGTTGAGTTTAAAGTTTATAATTATATTTTTCAAATAACAGTGCCTCGAAAGCTCAAAGTATTATAAGCAGGCCGAGGATAAAAAGAGCCACAGTAGGATAAAAGGTAGTTTTTTCAATCGTAAAAAAGTGTGAATTTTTGCTATAATTGTTAGTAAGTACCACAAAACAAAGCGTATGCTACTCGTCTATTCTGTATAGGTATACAGTATGTGAAGTAGTTGAACATTTGTCTTGTGACTGTTAAATAGTAAATTCTTTCTATGATCGGTACTGGTACTATTGTACATTTTATTTTAATTATTAACGTCTTCTAAGCATTGTTTTCTGAAAGCTTAAATAAAACTTCTAAATTAAAACTGTTTCTTTGAATTAATACTATCATTGAATACTACCTAGACTAACCATCTATGATACTACCTACTACTGTAGTTATGCAGCATTAGTTACCAAACTGCCTGATAGAAACGCATTGTTAATTTTATCAATGTGCTGTGAAAACAGAAAACAAATCCGAAAGTAGTTAAGTGAAACATGCCAAGTCAGCTGAGTAAACAGACCGGTGCCAGTGTTATTTAAGTCACAAATTGCCAACTTGCATGCTTCAGTGCATGTCTTACCTGTTTATGCTCGATTAAAAATAATAAAAATATATTTACAACTAATTTTCATAAAAACTTTTAACAAAATTTCTAAAGGAAATAGTATTTTTGTTGCAAGTGGAATTCAAAATAACAAAAAAATATTTGATGTTATTTTTCTGTGGTACATTTTTATTTAGCAGCAACACACAATTAATTTTATAAGAAATTGACGTAAACAATAAAGTATAAAAAACATATGGGAGGTACCTAATGAACAGAAAAACTATTACAGTTATAGAAAAAAATTAAGTAGTCTTTATTGAATCTTTTATGAATTATAAGTGTCTTTTCAATTAAATAGTAACAATAATGGCATGTGTTCCAGGATGGGGATGATAACGAGGTTTAGAGCAAGACTTCATGGTCTGCAAGCCCTCACCAAGCTAGACCCCCAAGCTCAAGCAGAGAAGACTGCTCAGACAGGTAGGCCTATGTTGTTGGTACCGAGATCTACATTATTATATGTACGTTGTCTTTACTTTCATCATCAATTCACATTTTTTTAGAACACGTTTCCCAGTAGGCCATTGTATCGGCTTTTGTGTCTTAGGTTTACTTGCTTTCTTATGGCAAGAGGTACCTTTATAACGAGGAGCTGATGATGCACTAATGTCAAAATGTGTACTAAAAAACATTTTGATTGAAGGGTAAGTAGATAAAAATACTTGACCATTGATCAATCCGTGCTAAAAATCTTGCATTATTCAAAAATTAGTACCATAAGATGTAGTGTGTGTAGGTACTTGAGTGCAAGACATCCCTCCACAGATAGAGCATATATATTATTGCCTGGGGCTGCTGGTAAAGGCTGGACCATAGTTCTAGGCGTCTGGCTGACGCATGCGCATTAATTTGCTGTGTTAATTCCCCATCTGTCAAAACTTGGGCTAACATATGATTAAATGCAAATTCGTTATTACGCATGCGTCAGCCAGACACCTAGAACTATGATCCGGCCTTTACCAAGCCAATGCCACATATCTTGTGAGTCTTGCCTTATTATGGGAGATTTTAATACGTTTTGATGACTGAGTATCAGCTGGTATTACCATTACTCAGTAACAATGCTACACAGATCATCACACTGACAAAATTACAACCCTTGCATTTTAATTACTTTTGCTGTCTTAAGAATCGTTTGATTGATTTTGTCTGATTGTTCCAGTATGTTTACTATCGGTGGTTCTGTTACTGCCATATCTGACAGGAGGACATGCCTCCATACTAGTTGGAGGTGTTGGACTTGGATACTCCTGCCTGGTACTGCCAATGGTTATCTCAGCCAACTACAGATATCCTATCAGTCTACTCAAGGCATTCGCACTTAATGTCCAAGGTAGTTTACAAATTGATTGTTTTCATGTGTTTGTGATATTTGTCTAGGTATTTGAAAAGGCTCAACTCTACATAGACAACATCAAAAATGCCTCCACCTCCTAACATGACCAAAATAAATCATGATTGAAAGTAACAATGATTATATTATGCCATTTTATTTTAAAACAGCTACATAGTCAATAAATTTCCTACAGAGCCCAGCCCCCATTCAATATTTCTAAAACCATAAGCCATAATTTTAATTTTTCTGTATTATTTCAAATCTACAATAGCATTTAAAAACACCTACATTTTTATTTATTTTTGTGGAAACCCCATAACCTCGCATACTTTTCAGTGTTAGTTTCTCTCAAATACTATCCTCCATACATCACCGATTGTAAAAAAAATGCTTCTTCATCTATGGGCCAAAAGGATAATTTAGTAGCTTTGTGAGTTAATTAGTTAATAAGTAGTTAGTGCAATAATTTATTAATAGAAACAAATTACAATACTACTAACATTTTTTCTGAATGAGAAAGTGGTTGGGAGATAAAAAGTGTTTTCACTTTTTTGCCAGAAGAATAGAAAAAAATTATGTTGATACTAATAAAATTTACCTTTTTACTAAAAAATACTAAGAGAACTTGGGGTAATTTAATGACCATAAAATAAACTTCTTAGGATAATAAATTGATAATCAACAAATTACTTACTTGTGTGATTCGGTTGAGAGGGGTTGGGAGACTGAGGAAGGGTGTTTGAGAGGTTGAAGATTTTATACCCATTTTCAAGGCCATAATTAAATGTGTTAATTGGAATATGTAAGTTTTATGTGGGCAAATGTCAACTTGTCCCTTCACATGGGAAACCAATCAGTCGGGGAAGTCTGGTGGAAGTGAGCAGCTCTAGCATTAATACTCACTGACACAACACACAGCAGTCCATCACAATTTACTTCATGTTTAACATCATTTAGTAATTTAACCAAACCCCAAATCAAGTGTGAAAATGAAAAATTAGAATGTAGTACACACCTCATTAAGTTCCCTCATAAAGACCTTAGCACAACAAAGCATAATATAGTTTCTTTTGCTAAAATAATCATCTAGAAATGATCTTAGTTTTGATGGAACAAATTCAACAGCGACATTTCTATTGACATCCACGAGACGCTGAAGAACCGCGGAGTGGCTTAAAATAGATGGCACAGTTAATGGGCTGACCTGTGTTATTTCAGGCCTGTTTACTATACTCTCAAGGTTTGTTTTCAGCAAACGTAAAAAATTAATATGTACCAAATGACCAAAACATCACGTTAGTTCGAACTGTGCATTTTTTTAAAGTGCATTGCATCAAGCTTGAAATGTTCTGCAAATAGGGTTTTCTTTGTCTTTTAATTAGATTCCAAGGATAAATTTGAAAAAAAAGTTTATTTAATGTTATGCTACAGTACAGATTAAAAAGTAAATTTCTGACAGCATAGGCTACATTAAAATTGATTACATCAAACTTCAACCATACAAGACAAAATTTACAATATTTTGTAAATAACAATACATCAAAATAGAGCTGGAAGGGTTTATGGATTAGTAGGCCTACTTGTATTGTATTTTCACCTATGCAAAAATTTAATGACTTGGACTTGACAACTCGGTTACAGACAGATGTAAGTGTCTTGCTCAACCACTGTTGAACTTCCTAAGGCGGGTCTACGGCCCAGTGGACATTGTTGAAAGGGCTTTCATGAGAATGACCAACATCTTTACATTAGTAAACCAGGTATGGTTGTAGTTTCTTTTAGTAAAAAATACCACACTGTTAAAACGGATTGTAAATATATTTTTCACAACCAAATGAAAGGATATAGAAACGTCAAAATACACAATTGAATAGAAGAAAAAAGCATTATACATATCTGTTTTTGTGCAACTTTATATGGAATATTCAATTGGCCCAAGTTATTCAATTAGCATTGAACTTTGATTTAATTATCTATTTATATTTGATCTCCTAACTGGTATATATATTTTATAATAGATTATTATATTACTACAGTTAAGGGGGAAATGGAAATCTAGAGATTTTACTATAACTATGATTGTGGAATTTCCATGATCCTCACATATTGTTATTGGTTTTAAGTAGGTAGTCAGTATTAACTAGTAGGAAATAATGTAAAAATCCATGGCTTTTTCTATTAATTAATTTCTTTCTTCGTAATTTAAATTTCCAAAATATGCAATTAAAAATAATATTGCTTTTCTCATACAGTATAAGCAAAATTTACAAAAAAGGAAACAAAGTATACACAAATGATTGATTTATGCTTTTGGGTATTTTAATTTTTACTGTTTGGTAAAATTACACAAGAGTTTGCTTGGTTGTAAAGATGTTTTTGCCATTTCAAATTATTTCATTGTAAATCAATGTAAAATAATACAAAAACATTTTTAAAAAATACTATGTACGACAAATAAGTAAGTGTAGGCCTCATCACTGTAGTTACTTACTAAACTGGAATTATTAATTCTGGTATGCGCTCCACTCTGTAGTTAATTTGGAACAAAATTTTTAAAATGCCGACACACAATTTAATAGGTGCTCCAACATTATTCAAGGATTGTTTAAGTTTAGTCAGTAAATACAAACAATTTATTAATTTCATTCTACAGTATCGCCTCAACTAACATATATCTTTTGCAGTTAATATTCTTCGTTCTGTGTGACCGAGTGCTGGTGCCCAACCAGAGGGTGACTGCCCTGTACTCTCTCATGTTCTACAACGTGATCGCGTACTGCGTGTCGTACATCAAGGAGCTGATAGAGAAAGAGGATTGGTCGCCCTGGGTGAGGATGGCCGACCACTCTAACATCAAGCACCTCGCGATGTCTGCTACCAAGATAGTGCTGGAGTGGACCAAGGCTGTCACTTTCATCATCACTGTCGTCTTCATGCTGCTTGTCTTTGGCTTGGAGCAGGGTCTCGATAACTACAAACCCACCTTCTTCTACAACATCACCACTTGGGCGTATTACGTCGTCACAGAGAAAGTTTTTGTCGATCTGTTGCTCGTGTTTGTAACTTATCTTCAACTTCCACAACTGGAGAATTTGGAGGCTCTCTGGATTCCTGTGATTTTCAGGGTATACACCGCTATAATTTCTTTATTCTTTGCCGCCCCTTTAATATTTTACGGCCAATACCGCTCAGCATTTATTGCAATTTATGTCAACGTCTACTTGAGATGTAAAGAAATGAAACTGAACAGTCTAAATGCTTTGAACCAAGAGAGAGCTGTTCTCACCCAGTTCCGCTACGCCTCTAGTCAAGAGTTGGCGGAGTTTGACGATGTGTGTGCCGTGTGTCTGAGCCCAATGAGACTGGCCAGGATCACACCTTGTCATCACATATTCCACGGTGAGTGTCTGAGACAGTGCCTCAAATCATCTGACCAATGTCCCATCTGTAAGAGAGAACTCAAGTTTGACTAATCTCGGTATCCTCTGATGACCAAAGGACACTTCTGTGATTGCTTAACATATCAACGGATAGTTATTAGTTCTAAGTAATGTGCATTCAAATTGAAAGCTACAGCAATTTATTTAAAACAAGCAATAATGTTGATTTCAAATACTCGTTAAAAGCTTTGATGGTATTTTATTCAACTGGTATTAGTAAAAGACACATAAAACACTTCTTTGGCCTTTTAAATATAGAATCAGAATGTGAGCTGATAAATTTAACTGCATTTTTAGCAGATTTAACTGCTAAATTTTTATAAAATTAAAAAGTTAGGGTATCTACCAAGACAACTAACTCTTTGGAAAACACTAAAATTACAGTGGGTTTATTCAGTGTTTCTGTTTCTTAATTTGAACATGTTATAAAATATGATAGCAAGCAAATGAGCAATTAAAGAAAAAAGAGTTGAACAGATTTTATTTAGTTAAATTGGTGAAAGGGTATGACAAAATACTTGGGTATTAAAAACAGATTATGATTGTGTAATATTGTAGCAACATTTGTATATTTCAATGATGCATCTAAATTTTATAAGAAATAAAATGTGTACTGTGATCTTGCTGAAACATATTATGGAATATTTAACTTCTATTTTTTTACAAAGTTCATATTCAGATGTAGATCGTTCAAGTTCAACAGTTACAAATGTTATATTCTAATAAATATTTCCAATAAAACATATCAGTTTTTATTAAAACTTCAAGACAACAGTAACACAAATCTGATCACTTTATTGTTAACTTATAATATTCACAAAAAAGATGTAAAAAAAAAACTACTACTACGTTAAAGAAAGTTAAAGTCAAAGTTGTAAATTATTTAAATTTATTTCCTTCATAGGCATAATGTAATAAGATCAACTCTCATAGGCAGAAGAAATTAAACATAAACTCAACTCATCAAGAAATATAAACCATATATTAAGTTTTTATTTAATTTACAAAGAATATATTTGCATCAACCAACGCCTACTTTTTATAGAGTGTGGTTAATTGTAAGTACTGTATATAGCCTTGTATACGCTAAGAACAAATAAAGATATGTATATATTGTATTTATTTGTAATGTTTAATAATAGATTTTTACTCATTTGTAGAATAGACATTTAACTAAGTACTATGTTGTTTTATTTTTAGCCTGAAAGTGTTCCAATTTTGCCTAGTAGGGGTATTCTAGAAGAAACCCTGACAGAATTTAAATTGCTGATTCTCAATGATTTTAAATGGTTGAAATAATTGTGTTATTTTATTTTATTTGTCATGTATTTATCAAAAAATACATGTTATTGTACATACAGGTATTAAATGTAAACAGGGGATAAACCTGCAAGTAAATTTACTTTTACAGTATTTACAAAAAAATTCATATGTTATCATTAGATTCTTTTTTGTGTCATCCTCAGGCCTCAGGGTCAAATGAAATGCAATGCCAGACTTTTTGCCTTCGTAAGTTCTAATCTCTAAACGAGTCAGCACTAGTCACTGGTGTCTAGGGCAAAAATCCAACACCACACCCTCGTCCTCATGTTCTACAACGCTCACATCGGAGGAAGACCCTGTGGGATAGGAATTTCCACACAGTGTTCGCCCCATGGTTTTTTCTTGTTCGTCACAAGTATATTTCCAGAACAACATATACGGGCTGAAAGTGCACGGTATTACTATGATAGCGTGTTTCCTCTGTACCTCACTTATCTGTGCTTAATTGAACATTTGACAAAATTGATATAATGGAAAAAAGCCAATATGTTTTATTGCTACTACTTTATTTACATAAAACATTGAGATGTTGTGACAAGAATGACATTTGACAAAGAATGACAGTTTAAATCACCACTTCTTGGATACATCTACGTACTCTCCATCAGGACTATCATAGTTTTCAATTGGTGGAGTAACAACAGGGCCCTTAACCTTGAATGGCAAGAAACCAGGGTCAATCTAAAAAAAAATCATGAATTTATGTTTTTTTTTACTATTAAATTAAATAAATAAGCTAAAAGAGTACTTATGTTTATATATGATTAATAACAAGAAAAAAAAGCAAAATTAACAACATAAAAACGTACATTGTAATAGTAGTTTACGCAACGATTGCGTAGAGATAGTGTTAAAGACACAAGTAGAAAATTTAAGGTACGAGCCTTGGCGAGTGCCTTAAAAACTTCTATGAGTGTTGTTAACACTATTTACGCGAGTTGCGTACACTACTTTACCTACGACGGTGTTTTTATTACCAGTGACGTAGCCAGGGGGGGGGTCCTGGGGGTCCGGACCCCCCCCTTCTGGTCTTAAATATAATATATATTTTTTTAATTAAATGTAGAATTATATAATCTTACTGTATTGACGTTGGGGTTGATTATTTTCAATGCCAAGAGAGCTAAAAAGACCGTTTTAGGGTTTATATTTTTAAAAATTTTCCCAGACCCCCCCCCCTTTACCTGGACTCCCCGGTCGGTCGACCCCCCCTATTTTGAAATCCTGGCTACGTTACTGTTATTACTAAAAATTACTACTCATAACTTCAAGAGAGGTTATGTTTTTGTTTATAACCTCTCATTGCCACTGACAGCGATGCAACGAAACATTGTATCAAACACTAATTGCACCAATCAAATATTAAATTGGCCTGAACAGCTGATTAGTTGAATTTCGAATCATTGCAATTTTGCTTCTCCTCTCTCAATCCTTGAACCTTATTGGTCCGTTACCCGTGTTGTTATGAGTAAAACTATGCTGTTATGAAAGTAAACAATGCTGTTGTGAGATACTTTTCAATTCTAATAACTGTACTGAAATAGCTACTTTAAATAACGGCCATAGTTAAAATATATTTTAAGATGAAAAAGAGTGTGTTAAAAGATTAAAGAAGTTAGATAATTTGGCTGTTATAATCAATAGAAATCTAACTAGAAATTACAGTAAGAGGCCTGTTTGAAACATTTAAAAGATTAACAGACTTTTGACAACATTTAACAGGAAACAATGAGCAAAAACTAAAAAATCCCATCTTTGTAATACACTCCAAATTAGATAAGTTTGTCTACAACCGTTTCACTACACTTGCACCTACGTCTTAGTATTACTGAGGACTGACAAAAGTAGTATTTAACTGTCATTGAATATAAATAAACAACTCATAAAACTCAGGACATTTAACTTAAATTTAACAAAAGTTAAAAATAAATTTCACCTGAATAGCTTCCTGATAGAGTTCCTCAGATTCCTGACGCAGCTTGTCGAGTGCTCGAGCCTGGGAGTACGCGAGCCGATCAATCATCTTGAGATCCTCAAGCGCCTGTCTCTGTCGATGTCTGGCCCAGTCCTTCATTAGCCTCACACGAGAGTCCACCTCCGACTCACTCATGGGTGCCACTTGACGTGTCCGTATTCTGGCAACATATTGGGTGTTCTAAAAATATTTAGTTTATCAGGTGATAAGCTTACAAAATATAATCGGAGCTGACCCCAGACAATGGGGTTGTCTTTAAGCTCGCTGGGCCAGGGTCACTGGCTGTGTTTCTGGGCAACCATCACGGAAGCATCTTCCCACCAAATTATTTTAGTTTCAAAGTTTTTCACTTGTTATCACCACAAAAGACCAACAAGACAACAAAACTAATATTTTTGTTTGAAAAAATCATTGGTTTTTTGTTAATGCTGCATTTTTTGATGCTGAGCATTACCACTGAATGACAACAGAATCTGTAGAGACCAGTGATATGAATTGTATCCAAGCTGCTGTGTGTGACTGACTAAGACATTAATTTATAATAGTCTTCTCGATCGTAAAAGGTATGCATGTATAATATACTGGTTAGGGATAATTAGTTTATTTCCATTTTGATTTTACATACCAACTGATGTGTCTATACCAAAATTTATTGTTTCTGAATTCTTGATACAGATATAATTAATTCTAGTTTTAACAAATTTTCTTAATACTTTGGTTATAATAAACCAACCACTGTCTTTATTTCATAAAGTATTTTAGGATCATATTGAGGTGTTCTTCAAGTAAGAAAAAATTAATGCACCAATAAAAAATCGGCTAGTAAGATTTTTTATTGGTGCATTTTTTTTTATGAAAAGAAAAATCTAATCAGCCTATTTGGGTTTAAACCTTCTTATCACATTAAATAACTACCATATAAAAGGTAAATGAAGATCAAACGACAAATAGTCAATTTCATTATAGCTAGAGGTGTGCCAGCCTGATATTTTCAGTCAAGCCAAACTAGAGGTAGCCTACTCTAATAGCGTGATCATCTGCGGTTGTGGAGACATCATCGTCGATTTCTGGGATCATTGCGATCTTCCTCAGTCACGGAAACATCATCACTATCTTTCGCGGTCACGGCAAAATCCTGATAATCAACAGAATCACCATCATCGTCCCCCGCAGTCACGGAAATGTTATCAACGACTTCTGCGATCATGGCAAAATCACGAATATCTCACACAGTTATGTGGACATTATCATCGTCTCCTGTGAGGAAAAATTCTGATTATCTCCTCCGGCTGTGTAGACATCATCATCAACTACCGCGGTCACTGAAACGTCATTGTCACCTTGTGCTATTGCGGCAAATTCAACAAAAATTTTCAGCCTTAAAGACATTACCATTGTCTTCCGCGATAGTGAAAAAAATGCTAATTATCTCTCACAGCCGTGTAGACATCATCCCGCGGTCTTGAAAACGTGATCGTTGCCTTTCACGATCGGGGAAAAATCTTACCATCCCTCGCCGTCATAAAGACATTATCGTTGTCTTCCGCAATCGTGTCAAAATTATGATTATCCTCCACGGCCATCGAGACATCATAATAAACTCCCATGGTCAGAAAATTGTAATCTTTGTCTTTCACGATCACGACAACATTCTGATTATTTCCCGTTGCCATGTAGACGTCATTGAATTCCACTGTCACGGGAACGCCATCGTCGACTTGCCCGATTGCGGCAAGACGATGAGTCACTAACATTTCTCGGCCATATAGACATTATCAATGTATTCTACAACTGTGGCAAAATTCTGCAAAAGTCTTGCGCAATCACGGTAAAATCATGATCTCCCGTGGTCGTGTAGACATCATCATCTTAATTTTTTTTATAACGAAAACGTGATTGCCGTCTTGCCCGATCATGGCAAAATTATGGACATTTCCCATGGTCGTCTACTCAGAATCTAAGTCTCCTGTGGTCACTGAAACATGATCGTGGTCTGGCAAGATCGCAGCAAAATTATGAATATTTGATTAGATTTTACATAGTTCATAAAATTCCCAACTTTGACAATAAAATAAAGACTCAATCCCGACTTTTCAAGACCATTTGAAATTCAATGGTCAATGGTTTACTAATTCTCAACCTTCCTGTTTTTCCCGATAACTAAACACCCTGATTACTATAATTTGCATACCAAAATTTGGAAAGCTACTCACTTCATATCTTCAGGTTTATAGAGGGTCTCAGGGACTTCACATTCATCTAAGGGTTTGAGTTGTCTTGCATTCTTCTCTAAACGGCGGATCTGTTTCTCTAGTTTCCTTTTTTTCTTTTCTTCTCTTGCTCTCAAAATTGCAGGGTCAAGCTTTTTCTTTTTCTTCAATGGCTCAGCACTAAAAACAATTGTTTATTGTAACAGTACTAACCAATAAGTTATTTTAGCGAATTTCCCATATAGGGTATAAGCTATTACCGTAGTACTCATGGTAAGACCTGGACCCGGGACCGATTTACTTTTTTGTTTTGAGGTCCCTAGAGGCCAAAAACACCATCCGTTCAAAGTCATATATAAATATATATATATATTTATAACAATACATAATTAAAAACCAAGTACCCTTTTTAAAACTCCCCTAATCACTAATATTTTCAGAACCAATATAAATTTATTTAAATATATATAGTACTAGCAGAGTACCCGTTCTTCGTATGGGGTTAGCGTATAAGTATAAAATGCTTATTGCAGTTATACTATAGCTTTGCGTATTGCAATGGGGGAGGATTTGGAGAGAATTTGAGAGAATTTGAGAATTTTTTGAGAGAATTTGGAGAGAAACTAACCCTAAAATAATATAAACTAATTGTAAACAAAACACGACATCTAAATAAAACCGGACAGAACTAACAATAAAATTGGCTTCAGCTGTTCTATAAGGATGGGAAATCTACTAAGGAACTATGTTTTATCTATGCTGTTACCCACGGGCTTCACCCCGTTTGACTTCATAAGTATCAATAAAACTATTGATTGGTTAAGTTAACTAATATGATAAGGTACATACCTTTACGTCAACAGTTCAATTTTGTAGTAAGTAAACTCACAACATGTTTCGCCTATTCAGGCATCGTCAGGTGGTATCCTAGCAAGAATGCTTTGTCTTCATCCATGATGGAGTCGTCAAGAAACATTTAAATAAATACACGTACATTACGCAAGAAAACATTTACGCATATGCGTAATGTATGTGTATTTATTTAAATGTTTCTTGACGACTCCATCATGGATGAAGACAAAGCATTCTTGCTAGGATACCACCTGACGATGCCTGAATAGGCGAAACATGTTGTGAGTTTACTTACTACAAAATTGAACTGTTGACGTAAAGGTATGTACCTGATCATATTAGTCTAATAAACAGTTCAGGGGCTAAATCATGAAGGTTATTAAGCTGTAATAAACAAAACAAAATACAGTAATACAAACAAATGATCCCACCTGATTTTAATAAGGTAATAAATTGAAAGTATAAGATACAAATAAGTACAGCTGAGGTTTTTTTTGTTCCCTTTAGAAAGCAATACGACCTTAAAGGACAATTTATGAAATAATGGATAGTTTTTGCAAGGTTTCTCGTCATGACGAACATTTTAAGTATATGGTTTATGGGGGTGTGACTTGTAGTTTTCTCAAAAGTTCATGGGTACTTTGGGCTTTATATATGGCTTGCAAAAAATATAATAGTGCTGCACCCTGCTGGTAATCCTTATAACTTTTTAATGCTATTGAATATTATAGAACCAACTTGTTTGGTCGAATCAGCTGACAAACTTATTTAATTCCTTTTAAATGTGAACTAGTGTACCTGTTGCTCGAATTCGAGCAATTGCGAAGCATTACAGGCGTTATTTTAAAACTAATAACAGTCATAATTTCTGATGACTTTATAAGAGTCGACTCAAAGATTAGGAAATACTCAAGATGTACACAGCAGTTAGATATAATCAAAACTTTTTGTAAATATCTTATCTTTTTTCAAAAGCTGACCTTGTTTTTTAGTGTTTTCTACAAATTTTCAAATCACAATTTAAATATTAACAGCTGTTTTATTCAAAAGTAGTGTAAATGTATGCATATGGTCATAATGTAAACAAATCTGAAGAGGGAACTTTAAAGGCCTCTGAGGCAGAGCCCCAAGGGAATTTACCTTGTTTCTCTTTTGATGGCTTATCTACAGACTAAGACCTTTCTTTAGAGACCCCTACCAAGTTTCTACGCCCAGCCGTTCTCTGTAATTAGCTGTGACAAAACCCCGTTTTTCCTCCATAAGAATAACATGGGATGGAAATTTAAAGGCCACTGGGGCAGAGCCCCAAAGGAATTTACCACGTTTCTCTTTTGATGGTTCATCTACAGACCAAGACCTTTCTTTAGGGACCCCTACCGAGTTTCTACATCCTTCTCTCAAATTAGCTGTCACAAAGAAAAACAGTTTCAAATTAATATATAGATACCCATGAGATTAACATGGGAAACTCCAGAGCCACTGGGGCGGAGCCTGAAAGGAGTTTTGAGATAGCAATATGCCTATATGTTAATCGAGAATGTGAGCTATCACCCAAAATTTCAGCCTAATTCGACCAGTATTTTTCGCATTTACTTGTCACAAACATCCATACATACATACATCCAAACTTTCTCATTTATAATATTAGGATATGTGTATCTGTTAGCACGATAACTCGGAGCAAAAATGATCTGATTTTGATGAAATTTGGTATAAAAAAAAGTATTCAAACGAGTTTGCGAACCAGCATGATCTGACTATGGGAACAGGGGTTTATGGGGGGTTTTATGGGGTGAAAATTGGTTTCTCCCATTTTTGACCCAAATAACATAAAATTTAGCAATATCTTTCCAAATAATTTTGTAGAGCTAAAAAACAAATAATTTACTATGTTCAAGCGTTATTATACGCCAAATGGTTACAGAGAAAATTCCAAAAAAATTTTAATTTAAAATTCCGATGTAGTTAACTGTTGTAGTTTGCTTGTTTATGAACATATTTTTATCAAATTTGGAAAATGCATATTTCTTACTAGACCATTAACATTTAACAAAAAAACACCTATTTACCCTCCCTTTTGCAGCAAACCTAGAAGTACTTGTTAAACTAATTTTATTTAAATAGGGAATAAATATAATATTTTTAAGGAGACGTTTTAGTGTAAACCCAATCAGGCAAATGGAAACTCGCTTAGTCTGCAGGTTTGCTGCGGCGAGGGTATTTTGCTCCAGTGATAAGTCTTGCAGCTTATTGTATTTTTCTTGTACATTAATGATCTCCCTATAAATATAAATACAAAATCTGTTATATTATAAGCGGATGATACAACTTTACTTAATACTTTAATACTTTTCATTGTAAAGGTGACCATACAAAGTAGGAATTTTAAGCCAAGTATGAATGGATAACTTGCTAACCATTGTAATTTAACAACCCTTAGCTTAATTTTCAAGAGGCTTAACTAGGAGATTAGTTTTCTGCAAATAGACTATCTTGTAATTCTGATAAATCACAATTTATATAACAATCAGTCTCAAAACAGAGATAAAATTTGAATCAGTTAAGCTTTTAGGCTTCAATTTGGATTAAAATTAAATTGGTCACCACACATATAAACTTAATCTGTTTGTAACATAATTTACTTAGAGAGTTACTTGCTGTGGAAACTTAAGGAGTTTGATAGCCAAGAATATTTAAGATTGGCGTATTTTGGACTCTTTCAATCACACATAGGCTACTTTATTTTATGGGGAGGAGATTCAAACCTGTGACCTTTATTTCTTGAACACCCTGTGCTTGGATCATGTTCTGAGTATTTTAAATGGATTATTCGGATGTGATTTAGGTTGGAATAATTTTATTTTGCGTTTCTAGGAGAAAGTGTACTTCCGTAAAAGTATGTAAAAGGGTGGTCTGATTCACCCTGTATAGAGTTTAAGTATTTACCAAGAACCCCATTTACCCCAGAAAATTTGAAAACTATGTCGGAAAATGTACTTTCGGTGCAGTATAACACCGCCGAGTTGAAAGCCAAGGTTAGTACATTGAAAACAAATTCATCTTCAATTATAGTTGACGTTGTCGGAGCAGATGAGGATAAGAAAATAAAAAAAACCTATAAGGAAGCAGTGGCGACTTCAAACGGTGATAAAAATAAGGGATCTTCCCAAATTAATAAAATTGTGACTGATTCAGGGAGTAGGCTAGGCTTAACGGAGTCATGTGACTTGCTAGGTCTAGATGGCCAAGGCCAACATAAGGGCGAGGCTATGAGGAAGGGAAACATCTATGGTGACGTCAGCGGCAGCGTGGCTTCTGAAGCTAGGCCTATTTCTACAAATAATGGTGTTAGTGTCGATGCTGAAGGTTTTAACTTAGTGTCATATAAGAAGTCGAGGAAATCGATAGGCCTACTGAGATCGAGTGCAAACGACAACCGAAAACAAAGAACTTCGAATCAACTGATTATGGGAAGTGCAAATAATAGCTCTAAATTAGCCGTGGTAGATAGACTGTCCTGGATTTACGTTACCAGTCTCGGCCCAAAAGTAACAGATGAGGAAGTTTCTAGTCATGTATCAAGTTTTTTTAGTGATGCTGTGAAAATTAAGTGTGAAAAACTTGAATCTAGGTACAATTCATACAGCTCCTTCAAGGTTGGTATCAACAAAAACTTAGTGACTAAGTGCATGAAACCAGCCAATTGGCCATCAGGTGTAATGATCGGGAAATACTATCCTAAGAAGAAGTACGTACAGAATCATAAAGTTTCTGGCCTAGGCCTTGGCCAGTTGAATACCGGTAATGAGTCAGTGGATTCAAAAAACGAGAAACTATAATGGTGATGAAGGCAAAACAGGTAAACAAGTCTTCATTCTTTGTTTGTTTTACCTTTTTATACCTTAACATACAGGGTTTATCAGATAAGTTGGACATTCTAGAAGAAACAGTTTTTAGTAATAGTTGTGATTTTGTATGTCTTTCAGAACACTGGATTACTGACCCTAATATTGACTTATTGAAACTAAATGGTTTTAAATTAATAACAAGTTACCAGAGACAATCTCTCAGGAGGGGTGGAACACTTATCTATGCTTCAGAAAAATATAACTGTGAACCTTTCGACCTAAGTCGCTTTGCCAAAGAGGAACACTTTGAAACTTGCGCATTAGTTGAAAATGAACTGAAGTTGGTAGTTGTAGTTATTTATCACACACCTGACGCTGATGGAAATATTTTTTTAGAGACTTTAGATAGCATACTTAATTTTTTTAACCAACCAAAATGGTTCTCGTATACTTTTGTTTTTGGGGGTGACTTTAACTCAGAATTTGATATTACGCAGATTAGCAACTCAAGTGAACGTTTTGTTAAGTTGTTAAAAGAATACAACTTTTATTGTTCCAATTACCAACCTACCCGGGAGAAATCATGTTCGGACAATGTTTTCTCTAATGCAAAGAGGGATGACTGTTATTCTGAGGTTCAACCTTGCTACTACTCCGATCATTCGATGCTGTGGTTTCGCCTGGTACTAGACTCGACGGAGCGGAGGACTCAGACGGAGGAAAACATACCCATCTACAGTAGGAATCTTTCTGAAGCAAACATGGTAACCTTCAAGCATGAACTTTCTCTAATTAACTGGGAGGAATTGTATGAATTAGTTGTAAATGCGATTTTAATCTAGTATTAAGTAAAATGGGCTGTGATAATAGAATTAGTTTTGCTGACATGTATTTTGAATATTTTTTTAACGCTTTTAACTTAGTTTATCAGAATTCTTTTCCATTGCAAATGTGTAGGCCTAAGCATAGTTCCAACAAACATAATGATTTCAAAAAGCCTTGGTATAGTGAAGATCTTGCTAAATTAAAATATGAAATTAATGTTGCTCCGGAAATATTTTTCTGACTGGCTCAGAGGCAGATAGGTTGCTTTATCGCAACTTAAGGAAAACCTACAAACAGAAAATTAAAGATGCTAAATTTAATCACAATGTTAATGTAATAGAAAGTTCCAAAAACAAGTGCAAGGGGGCCTGGTCAGTTATTAAAAGTTTCAAAGATTCTAGTCCTTATGCTGTGATATACCTATTAGTCCTGACACTTTGAATAGTTATTTTGTTGATTCTGTAAATGTAATAAGATCTGGTATAGTTAAGCCTAACACTGTTTCTGATAGCTATTTATTTAATGTGCCTCGTGCAACTCAAGCATTTTATTTCCAACCTGTGAATGAAGTAGATGTAAAAAAGGTCATATGTAACTTAAAGAATTCCAAAGCTTTAGACTTCTACGGAATGTCAAATTTCGTCATTAAAAGTGTTGGTGATATTATAGCTGCACCGCTGGTCACTGCCACTAACCTATGTTTTGAAGAAGGAACTTTTCCTGATTTATTAAAGATTTCTAAAATAACTCCAATCCATAAGAAGGGTGACAAGAAAAACCCTGCAAATTATAGGCCAGTCTCGTTGGTTCCTGCCCTGACAAAGGTGTTAGAAAACATCATTTTTCGTCAGGTAAGTGACCATTTTGAGGCTTTGGGCCTTCTTTCTGAATCACAATTCGGTTTTAGGAGGTTGTGCAGCACCACCGACGCTGTTGGGGCGTTGATTGCTAAAATACATGATGTTCTTGAGGGCGGAGGCTTTGCTTGGGTCACCTTCTGCGACCTTAGCCAGGCCTTCGATTGCGTCGACCATGGGATGCTTTTGGGCAAGATACAGCACTACGGAGTCGGTGGGGCTGCCCTTAACCTATTAAATTCTTACTTAAGCAACCGAAGACAAGTGATTTGTATCAAGGGCGAGCGGTCAGCTATGTCTAATGTAGTATGCAGAGTCCCGCAAGGGTCCATACTTGGGCCGTTTCTATTTTTAGTATCGATAAATGATTTGCCTAATAATGTTTTCTGTGATACCTATTTATATGCTGATGACTCGACCTTTCTTGTGCATGGTTCTGATATAGATTTATTAAGTTTGCATGTTAAAGATGTAGTTGGTAACATTTCAGACTGGTTTGCAGCAAACTCTTTTCTCTTGAACAATGAAAAAACAAAATCTGTCATATTTAGCTTAAGAAAAGTACCTGATGTTTTTGATTCACAAGATTATGTTAAGTTTTTGGGTGTTTGATTGATAAACAGTTAACCTGGTCACAGCAGATTGATCAACTAACAAATAGGCTTTCAAGAATTGTTTTCTTGTTCTCTAGATTAGTGCACTATGTCCCTTTTGATTATGTAAAATCTGCTTATTTTGCGTTATTTCAGTCAATTGCTTCATATGGTTTAATTTATTATGGTAGCTCTCCTAAAATCCACGAGGTACTTCTAGCTCAGAAAAAAATCATCAGAATAATGTGTAAAGAGGATAGTGAAGCACACTGTAAACCCCTTTTTATTGAATTAAAAATATTGACCACCATTAACTTATACATTTATAAATATCAATTATTATTGTTTACTTTTAAGAATAGCTTTAAATACAAAATGAGAAATGAAGTGCACAGTATTAGTACCAGAAACTGCAAAAAGATTGATCTGCCTCAGGTACGGTTGGAAAAAACAAGATCAGGACATGTTGTGATGGGTATCAGGCTATTAAATAAATTACCTCTGGCTGTGACAGATTTAGACTTTAAGAATTTTAAGAAAAGGCTGTTTTTATTTCTAGTAAACAACCCTCTCTACCGTATCGAAGATTTTTTTAGCATGTCTGATAAGTTAATAAAAAATATTTGAAATAGGATGTAACTGTGATTTAGATATAAGTTGCACGATTTTTTTTATTTATTACTGTCAAATTTTTAATCTCTTGCCATGGTCTTTAACTTTTGTATTTATTTGCTCGTCGCTCAATTTCAATTTTAACTCTTGTATTATATTGACTGTATTAACTGAATTACTTGTTATTTATATATTTATACATTTATTTACTCAAGACTGAATACGAGATGTATTTACCAACAATTTGACCTGTCTAAGCATTACATATGTAAAAATGATGAATAAATGTCTTATGTCTTATGTCTTTATTGTTTTAGTCTAAATTTTGGAGCTTGAGTTTAGGTTGGATATATCCGTTTTGGGTCCCCAAAAAAGTGGTTTGCAAAGTGATGTCTATGTATACGCATATCTGTATAGGTGGATGTGTACAGACCACACCTATAAAGCGATTTTGATGATATTTGGTATGTAGGTAATAATACATGGAGTCTCCAGGCATTTTTATTTTTTAAATTTTAGATAGGCCTATTTAATGGTCATTTTCCCATAAATAACTAAAACAGAAAAATAATCTTTTTCACAAAAACGGCCCAAACAATTTTGATTAAAATTTAGGCCTGGGTCCTTATGATTCTAAACAAAATTGTACAACCCCCAACTGCTGTAAAAACTACAGATAAAAAGTTATTGCAACTTTTATGATTTTCCTCATAAAATATCATAGTTACTCCTAAAGCTTAATCATGATAAAGGTTGTTGAGAAGCTAATGGGAGAAAGTATGTGCCTGATTGCTGATACCCTACCCTTTATTTTAAACATGACAAGGGTGGCAAGACATTTTATCATAGATAGTCACGAGGAATTAAAATTGGGCTGCTTATAATAGTCCTAAAACAAAAACAACAATCAATGCAATGGAGGCTTACTTTGTTGCCAGGAAAAGTAAAAACCAGGCAAATCTTGATTCCTCAAAAAGTCATGTGCAAAGCTTTGGGACAGATAAGGCAATTTATGGATCAATCTTTTTTCTTGCAAGGGGAAACGACCAACAAAGAAATTTTGATCATCATTCTCGATAATTCCTAGCCTCACTGCAAATTTAACTAAAAACCTCTTACAGGATTATTGTTGAAACATTTTTTGACCATCCTCTGCACCGCCCTAACCTTGCTACTAGCGGCATTCATCTGTTTCTCCTAGGCTAGACTATTTGAAGTCTTTCCTAGGCAGTCAACACTTAACAGCCATAAAGAGTTAAAAAAATTTTATACCTTTTATACCGTTATACCATGCATCCATCGATGACCAGTAGTGACTTGATAGATTTCGTCAAAGAAAAAACATTTAAGTTTTAATACTTTATATATTTATGCGGTTAACATGGCTGTAGATTTTTAGCTGTAGACTATTTTTTACCATAATATAAATATACAGGTTGTCCCGTAACTCTCTGGACACATGTATATAGCGTTATTGCTTAGGTCAAGACAAACACATTTCACTATAGAAATATGGGTCTGAGGTGTCTAGTTTACCGACTGTCGGCATTTATGTGGGTTTTACAAAAACATTAATAACTCCTAAGCGGTTTGAGATACAGCGTTGAGATTTTGCAGAAATGTTATTCTTATTAAGGTTTATCTTTGTTAAAAATTATACTAAAAAATTATTAACCACTTTAAGATGACAGCCATTTAAAATATTTGATGCCAAATTTCACGAAAACCGTTAAGTTGACAAAAAAAATTTCAAGATACGAAAAAGTTAGTAAATTTCGTCTATTTTTCAATGATACTTTTTAGTTAAAAATGGATACATAATAGGCCTAACAGAGAAATGTCTTCTTTTCCAAATGCATGACCACTTTTAACCATTTAAACAATGCTAAAAAAACCTTAATAAGAATAACATTTCTGCAAAATCTCAGTATCTCAAACCACTTAGGAGTTATAAATGTTTTTGTAAAAAACACATAAATGCCGACAGTCGGTAAACTAGACACCACAGACCCATGTCCCTATATGGTGAAATGTGTTTGTCTTGACCTAAGCAATAACGCTATATACATGTGTTCAGAGAGTTACGGGACACCCTGTATATTCTATACTAATAGTTACCAGATGGTTGACAACACATGTTAACTATTAGCAACTTAGCAACATTCTATTTGGTTTTCCATTGATACATTTTGTTGCTTAGTGTATAAGTACCTACTTTTAAAAATAGCAAAATGGAACTTAAATTCCGAAACGTATCATAATTCCTAATGTAGGCTACTAATTTTCTTACCAGAGAATTTGAGTCACCTGGAAGCTTAGCGGTGTGTTTGTGAAAATTGAACGCCTTACAGTATTCATTGTTTCCTTCTTGATGACCAACCTACAAATAGGCTATATTAGAAAAATACTTCAAAATATGTCCATTATTTGATTTGATAGGCTGTATCTCTAGCCTATTGAATAAATAATTTGCAGATGTTGGGCTAGGTGTAGACAGTTAAGTAGGCCTATTGATCTTAAAACTTCATAGACTAATTTTAACTTTTAGTGAACCTTTTGACCCCTAATAATGTATTATTAGGACTCGTCACAATCTGTCGCCTGCAGTGCTAACAAAAGAATCTTAAACAAGTCATAGTAAGTTGTGGTGACTTGTTTTTTAAATTGTTTGAGAACACGAATAACTAACTTAGGATGAATCAACATAGTGTCGGGACTTGCTGTAGCCTACAGAGTGTTCTCTAACATAAAATTCATTAACTCTAGGTATCACGACCGTGATAGTTGTCGTGGCAATAATTTAATCAGGAATGAACTAAATTAAAAAAGACTTTTTTTTAAACATACCGGTATCTTTTTGTAAGAAGTAAAAAAACAATAACAATCTTTGTTTACATTCGATAATAATATTATAAAACATTAACTTATAGGTCTAACTTACACCTTTAATTACAAAATCTTTACCCCTAAAATAAGTTAAACCTAGTTCACTATCTCTATGAAATCTAACTTAGGTTTAGCATATCCAAGTTATTGCATTCTGTATCTTGATTAAATCTAGGCCTACTGCGTAAACTGGAGATGTTACAAAATATGTATCACACCAAATTCAGTAGGCCTACTGTAATGTAACTTAGGTACAGTATAGTGATTTCATGAGATTTAGGCTAGATTATGAAGAAAGTTTATGTTGATGTTACACTTATAAATAGTCAGTAATTAGTAACTCAAAATACAATCGGAATAAAGAATTAGATAACAATAACGTGAATGAAAATCAATGACTTTTTATTGTTAGTTAAGAGCAAAATCAATGGTTTTTAAGGGTTAAATCCACTTTATACAACTATTTTACTCAAGACAGCCTAGCCTTTAGTTACTGAATGAGCCTCTCTTAGTTTACGACTGTTAAGTAAAGCTTTATTTGGCTGCACTTTACTTTACGTCCTACACTTATTTTAAAGAAAATATCGATCGATATATCGATTATTCGATAAGTTATGGTATATCGTTTGGTTAGTTAGGTAAGGTTAACCTAACCTAACTAACCAAACGATATATCGAATGAAACAATCGAATAATCGGTATTTTCATACGAATGAGTGTAGGACGTAAAGTAAAGTGCTGCCCTTTACTTTTTCTTTTAACTTTTTAAACAATGATACGCTTCCCTATCTGTTGGCACAAACAACCGAATGAAAATATCGATCGATATATAGATTATTCGATAGGTTTATATCGTTTGGTTGGTTAGGTAAGGTAAGGTAACTTAACTAACCAAACGATATATCAAATGAAACAATCCAATAATTAATATTACTCATTCGGTTGTTTGTGCCAACAGATATGGAAGTGTACCCCTTGGTTCCTTAATCATACAAAAACTGGCAACAACAACACCTTTAACTTAAGAATGGCATGTACATTTCAAGTTAGTGTAAGTGGGCTAAGTTATTTTGAAGTTATTAGGCTATCTAGTTAGGTGCCTAATTAGCATATTTGTTAGTAAAAATATGTGTGTGTACAATAAATAGTTAAAATCTAAAACAAACCTTTCAAATAAGCGAATCATTTTGGTTTTCAATCAATGGTCAAGTGGGCTTAGTATCTACACAAAAAATAATAATAATAAGAAATCACTTTGACAAAATTTTCAATATTATTTCTTGAACATGAGATAATAAGCAGTTTAACTAAGCTTATGACTTAAACTTAGTGAAATAGTGATAGTGAATAAGTTTAGTTTTTGATAGCCTATTTATTTTTGTAAATTGTTAATTGAAGTAGCCTAGCCCTAGAGCCTACTGACTTTTTTGACTGAGTGAAGTAGTGAAGAGTGAAGAAGTAGGGTTAAGTTACGGCCGTGAAGATAGCTATCACCAGCTGTCATCCCTCCAAAGTTTCCCCCTCCACCAGACATTTGAGTTTACCCCTACGAAGTAGTCAGTGCTTTGCACAAGTAGACCTCCGAATCCCGTACTTTATATTTTCTAAAACTCTAAGCTTTAAGGGTTATAACCTATTTAATTATAAGAATTACTTTGTAATTATTAAAATGCATTAATAAAATAATATAAAAACATAAATATAAGTAATCTTGACTGGTGGTAAAAACTACGCAATAATGTGATCAATAAGAAATATGTATTTACCTTGGACCTATTTAAACTGAACCAAATTTTATTATTGATTATATAAAGAAACATGATTGCTCTTAATAAGGTATGAAAATTGAAAAAAAGAGTAGGACCTTAGCGAAAAGGGCGCTGAAACCAGAAAAATGGTAAAATAATTTGACAAGATTACTATTTTTCTTATCATGACCCCGATTGATTGCACCAAATTTTATTACTGATTATACTAGTATAGATGATTACTTTTTAATAAAAAAATATGATAATTGAAATTAAAGTGCAGGATGTTGGCGAAAATGGCGTCGAAAACCACGAAAACGGTCAAATAATTTGACAAATTCACAAATTCTTCGTACCATGACCTTGATTGATTGCACCATATTTTATTACTGATTGATTGTACAAGTATATATGGTTGCTTTTAATAATAAAATATAATAATTGAAATAAAAGTGTAGGATGTTGGCGTAAAATGGCACCAAAGTAATGAAAATGGTTAAGAAATGTTATACATTTAAGATTTTTTCTTACAATGACCCCGAATGATTGCACCAAATTTTATTACTGATTGTACAAGTATATATGATTGCTTTTAATAATAAAATATTATAATTGAAATAAAAGTGTAGGATGTTGGCGTAAAATGGCACCGAAACCACGAAAATGGTCAAATAATGTGACACATTCACAAATTATTTTTACCATTACCCCGAATGATTGCACCAAATTTTATTATTGATTGTACTAGTATGGATGATTGCTTTTAATAATAAAATATAATAATTGAAATAAAAGTGTAGGATGTTGGCGTAAAATGACACCGAAACCACGAAAATGGTCAAATAATGTGACACATTCACAAATTATTTTTACCATTACCCCGAATGATTGCACCAAATTTTATTATTGATTGTACTAGTATAGATGATTGCTTTTAATAATAAAATATAATAATTGGAATAAAAGTGTAGGATGTTGGCGTAAAATGGCAACAAAGTCACGAAAATAGTTAAATTAAATGTTATACATTTAAGATTTTTTCTAACCATGACCCCGAATGATTGCACCAAATTTTATTATTGATTGTACTAGTATAGATGATTGCTTTTAATAATAAAATATAATAATTGGAATAAAAGTGTAGGATGTTGGCGTAAAATGGCAACAAAGTCACGAAAATAGTTAAATTAAATGTTATACATTTAAGATTTTTTCTAACCATGACCCCGAATGATTGCACCAAATTTTATTATTGATTGTACTAGTATGGATGATCGCTTTTAATAATAAAATATAATAATTGAAATAAAAGTGTAGGATGTTGGCGTAAAATGGCACCGAAACCACGAAAATGGTCAAATAATGTGACACATTCACAAATTATTTTTACCATTACCCCGAATGATTGCACCAAATTTTATTATTGATTGTACTAGTATGGATGATTGCTTTTAATAATAAAATATAATAATTGAAATAAAAGTGTAGGATGTTAGCGTAAAATGGCACCGAAACCACGAAAATGGTCAAATAATGTGACACATTCACAAATTATTTTTACCATTACCCCGAATGATTGCACCAAATTTTATTATTGATTGTACTAGTATAGATGATTGCTTTTAATAATAAAATATAATAATTGGAATAAAAGTGTAGGATGTTGGCGTAAAATGGCAACAAAGTCACAAAAATAGTTAAATTAAATGTTATACATTTAAGATTTTTTCTAACCATGACCCCGAATGATTGCACCAAATTTTATTACTGATTGTACAAGTATATATGGTTGATTTTAATAATAAAATATAATAATTGAAATAAAAGTGTAGGATGTTGGCGTAAAATTGCACCGAAACCACGAAAATGGTCAAATATTGTGACACATTCACAAATTATTTTTACCATGACCTTGATTGATTGCACCATATTTTATTACTGATTGTACAAGTATATATGGTTGCTTTTAATAATAAAATATAATAATTGAAATAAAAGTGTAGGATGTTGGCGTAAAATGGCACCAACACCACAAAAATGGTCAAATAATGTGACACATTCACAAATTATTTTTACCATTTCCCCGAATGATTGCACCAAATTTTATTATTGATTGTACTAGTATAGATGATTGCTTTTAATAATAAAATATAATAATTGAAATAAAAGTGTAGGATGTTGGCGTAAAATGGCAACAAAGTCACGAAAATAGTTAAATGAAATGATATACATTTAAGATTTTTTCTAACCATGACCCCGAATGATTGCACCAAATTTTATTACTGATTGTACAAGTATATATGGTTGATTTTAATAATAAAATATAATAATTGAAATAAAAGTGTAGGATGTTGGCGTAAAATTGCACCGAAACCACGAAAATGGTCAAATATTGTGACACATTCACAAATTATTTTTACCATGACCTTGATTGATTGCACCATATTTTATTACTGATTGTACAAGTATATATGGTTGCTTTTAATAATAAAATATAATAATTGAAATAAAAGTGTAGGATGTTGGCGTAAAATGGCACCAACACCACAAAAATGGTCAAATAATGTGACACATTCACAAATTATTTTTACCATTACCCCGAATGATTGCACCAAATTTTATTATTGATTGTACTAGTATAGATGATTGCTTTTAATAATAAATAATAATAATTGAAATAAAAGTGTAGGATGTTGGCGTAAAATGGCCTACACTTTTATTTCAATTATAATATTTTATTATTAAAAGCAACAATATATACTAGTATAATCAGTAATAAAATTTGGTGCAATCATTCGGGGTCATGGTAAGAAAAAATCTTAAATGTATAACATTATTTAACCATTTACGTGGTTTTGGTGCCATTTTACGCCAACATCCTACAATTTTATTTCAATTATTATATTTTATTATTAAAAGCAACCATATATTCTTGTACAATAAGTAATAAAATTTGGTGCAATCATTCGGGGTTATGGTAAATATAATTTGTGAATGTGTCACATTATTTAACCATTTTCGTGGTTTTGGTGCCATTTTACGCCAACATCCTACAGTTTTATTTCAATTATAATATTTTATTATTAAAAGCAACCATATATACTAGTATAATCAGTAATAAAATTTGGTGCAATCAATCTGGGTCATGGTAAGAAAAAATCTTAAATGTATAACATTATTTGACCATTTTCGTGACTATGGTGCCATTTTACGCCAACATCCTACACTTTTATTTCAATTATTATATTTTATTATTAAAAGCAACCATATATACTAGTATAATCAGTAATAAAATTTGGTGCAATCATTCGGGGTCATGGTAAGAAAAAATCTTAAATGTATAACATTATTTAACCATTTACGTGGTTTTGGTGCCATTTTACGCCAACATCCTACAATTTTATTTCAATTATTATATTTTATTATTAAAAGCAACCATATATACTAGTATAATCAGTAATAAAATTTGGTGCAATCAATCTGGGTCATGGTAAGAAAAAATCTTAAATGTATAACATTATTTGACCATTTTCGTGACTTTGGTGCCATTTTACGCCAACATCCTACACTTTTATTTCAATTATTATATTTTATTATTAAAAGCAACCATATATACTAGTATAATCAGTAATAAAATTTGGTGCAATCATTCGGGGTCATGGTAAGAAAAAATCTTAAATGTATAACATTATTTAACCATTTACGTGGTTTTGGTGCCATTTTACGCCAACATCCTACAGTTTTATTTCAATTATTATATTTTATTATTAAAAGCAACTATATATACTTGTACAATCAGTAATAAAATTTGGTGCAATCAATCTGGGTCATGGTAAGAAAAAATCTTAAATGTATAACATTATTTGACCATTTTCGTGACTTTGGTGCCATTTTACGCCAACATCCTACACCTTTATTTCAATTATAATATTTTATTATTAAAAGCAACCATATATACTAGTATAATCAGTAATAAAATTTGGTGCAATCATTCGGGGTCATGGTAAGAAAAAATCTTAAATGTATAACATTATTTAACCATTTACGTGGTTTTGGTGCCATTTTACGCCAACATCCTACACTTTTATTTCAATTATAATATTTTATTATTAAAAGCAACCATATATACTAGTATAATCAGTAATAAAATTTGGTGCAATCATTCGGGGTCATGGTAAGAAAAAATCTTAAATGTATAACATTATTTAACCATTTACGTGGTTTTGGTGCCATTTTACGCCAACATCCTACAATTTTATTCCAATTATTATATTTTATTATTAAAAGCAACCATATATATACTAGTATAATCAGTAATAAAATTTGGTGCAATCAATCTGGGTCATGGTAAGAAAAAATCTTAAATGTATAACATTATTTGACCATTTTCGTGACTATGGTGCCATTTTACGCCAACATCCTACACTTTTATTTCAATTATTATATTTTATTATTAAAAGCAACAATATATACTAGTATAATCAGTAATAAAATTTGGTGCAATCATTCGGGGTCATGGTAAGAAAAAATCTTAAATTTATAACATTATTTAACCATTTACGTGGTTTTGGTGCCATTTTACGCCAACATCCTACAATTTTATTTCAATTATTATATTTTATTATTAAAAGCAACCATATATACTAGTATAATCAGTAATAAAATTTGGTGCA